CTAAGGCGGAGCTCCCCGAGGACCTACCGAGGGTAGGCGGTAAGGCAAGCGACGCTGACTGGGTATTCAGGGCGCCGGCAGTCGACAAAGGGTTGCCGCGGTATTATTGTGCATAGAGCCTGGCCCAGCGCGCAGTGTTGTGCAACCTCCTGTTCGCCGTCGGCAGTCTGGGGCTGGTGGCGTGGATGCCGGTGAGCGTGTACGTCAAGAGGCGAGAGAGGATGCTGATGGCCAAGGGACCACGGTGGAACGACTCGGTCGCGGAGACGAAGATGATGGTCTGCGCGCTCATCGTGATGGCCTTCGTGCTGGGCTGCCTCGGGTACGCTCTGCTGCACCGCTCGGCTGTGCCGCTCGCCTTCATCGCCTACCTCTACGCCACGATGCGCCTCTACGAGGAGGCGGTCGCCGACGCCCGCTCCTGCTACTCGCTCTACAAGCTCCTCTTCCTCCGCCCCTCGACCATGGCAGCCATGGTGCAGAAGCGAAAGGCCGCAAAGGCGGCCCTCGACGCCGCCTCCTTCTCGCTCCCCGACGGCGTCGCGTCCGAGGTCAAGACCACTCACGACGAGGCGCTGCCAAAGACGTCGTGGAGGCGCGCCTTCGACTTTTACTTCCCGTGGTGGCTCTCCCGCCTGCTCGTCCTGTTCATGCGCCGACGCAAGAAGGACTGGAACGAGGTGCTGCGCCTCGAGGACCACAACACGATGGACTACGTCGAGTGAAGTCGGAGGCGCCGGCGTCTCTCTGCCGCATCCACCGGACAGGGTAGCTGCCTCGGTGGCGGACAGTAGCTGCCTCGGTGGCGGGCAGAGTAGCTGCCTCTCGGTGGCGGGCAGTTCGTCGTGATCGCGGTTCAGGGCGCGCATGGCCATTGCTGCTGCTGCCGCATGCCGGCGCGGGGCGCGGCGGGGGGCGTAGTGTATGCTGGGTCGTTTCGTGTCCTGAACTGCCCCCCGCGTGGACTCATTTGTGCGGACTGTACTGATCTCTGACATCGGCCCGGAGGGCCGGGTAGTGGAGGGGTCTAGGTTACCTCTACCTCTGAGGGCCTGCGGCCCTCTTACCTTTACCTCTGGGCAGCCGGCGTGCCCGTGGGCCCCTTACCTCTACCTCTGAGCGCGCGACGTAGACGTGATTTACCTGTGCGTGATCTCGCCTCGACGCTCGAGCGATCTCGCGCGAGAGGCGAGTGATCTCTCGAGTGATCTCAAGATGTTGAGATCTCGCGATACTCGCGCCTCACCGTGCTCTCAGAAACACTCGTGCGGCTGCGCATTTTATTTTCTCGGCGAGTAAGAATCGCAGATTATGTGCGCGCCTCAGAGACTTCCGTGATTCGCGCGAAGGAGTACGGGTAGAGGTGTGGGGCATGGTCCCCAGGCGACGGCGGACATGGCAGAGACGAGTGTGAAACAAAGGGCGGCGGGCATGGAGGGCGGTAGCGACGGGGATGGAGACGGTGACGGTGGCGAGGGAGAGGAAGGGGGTCCATTAACACCAGACAGCGAGAGGGGCAGGGAGGAAAGGGGGAGAGAGGAAGCCAACGCGACGTGCGCAGAGGATGAGGATATAAACTGGGACGACGCAGCGGAGGGGATAGGCGAGGGAATCGAGGGACCGGAGGGCTTTCGCGACAGCGACGATGACGACGAAGAAAGGGGAGGGGACGGAGGGGCGACACGCAGGAGGAGCGAAATCGCTAACGGCCCGAGCAGAGAGGGCGACGGCGGGGCACGAGGGAACAACGGAGACGCTACCGATGACGCGAACCGAGGCACGGACGCCGGCGGGGACGGGGAGGGCGACAGCGACGTCGAGGTTGACGCAACCGTATCGAGAGCGCCACCCAAAAAGGGGCGGACAGCCATGGAGGTCACCGAATGGAGGGCGAACGGCACGATGCGAAAAGGCAGGGCGAGGCGGATGGAGAAAGAAGTGCCGAGAAGGCCATGGTGGAGGGGAGGGACGGGAGGACGAAAGAAGGGCGAGGAGGACGAGCGGCCCGCACAGACCGCGAGCAGACAGCGCCTGCTGGCCATTTCGAGACATTCGCCAAGAACGCTAGCTACATGGGAGGGCTTCGTGAAGGATGGATTGAAAAACATTCGAACAAAGAAGAGGCGACGGGAGGGACCGGCGGAGGATGCAGTGACGTGACACACACACACACACACACACACACACACACACACACACACACACACACACACACACACACACACACACACACACACACACACACACACACACACACACACACACACACACACCGCTCACCCACGCGCACTGGGCCTTGCACTTTGAATGCCGTGGGGCTCCTGTCGTCAGACGTGGAGACGCGAGGTTGCCCCCCCTTGCCCCACCACCTCGTGTGTGTGGAGAAGTTTACCTTACCTTACCTTACCAAGACGGTGAGAGAGAGAGAGATTTCTTGAACCGGTGCATACAGGATCGATCGAGGCGGAGTACGCAGGAGCCATCGGCGGCGGTTAGCGCAGCGCGGCGGTGTAGACGAGCTGCGAGATATATTGAGATTGTGACGAGGAGTGGAGCGAGTGAGCTGAGGCGCCCTGGGGATCGTTCAAGTATTATGCGCCTCACCTTCACTCCGGCACGGACATGGACGGGAGACCGCCCGATGTCTGGAAGAGCTATTGAATAAATGAAGAGACAAGAAGTGTCACCCCCCACAAAATGCGCAGCATCGCTCGGTGGTGTTCGGGCCCCAGCCCGCATGATGTCGCGCTCCTGCTTCGCACGCACACGAGCCCCTTGCGCGCCTCGCCCCCGAGCATCGCCAACCACTCGCAGTGCACCGCCC